CCCGGCTGGGACTGGGCAGGGAGCGCCGAAGCCGAGTTGGGAGGGGCCGGCCGAGCGGGAAATGGGGGGGATGGGGCCGAGGGCTAATGCGACCCCAGAGCGGGGTAGGGGCACCCAGCAGCCACAGAGCTCGGGCTGGTGCCGGGACCCGGAGGTTGGGGGGCGGGGGGGATGAGGCAAGGAGCAGCCTTGGGTTCATGCACCTCCCTGGGCGCAGCCTTCCCGCTCGGTGGCTGCACCTAGGAGCGGGAAGTGAGAGTGGAAAGAGCTCCATTGTCTGGGGTTGGACTGGCCGACTCGGACCGGGGTGGGGGAGGTTGTGTCGCACTCTGGCCTCTTCTGAGGCTCCCCGGCTCCGCTGAACTTCCCCAGCTGCTCCCGGAGGCGCGGCGGCGACGTGTCTGCTCCCCGCAAGGGGCGCTCAGCCTGGAGCCCACGGCCTTTCGCTTCCCAGCTGGTCCCTGCGGTGACCAGGGCTCCTTCTCCAGGGGACCCTTGGGGTGTTAGCACGGCGATCGGTCTCTTGCGTGTCGCGGGGCCAGAGGCGGCAGATGATGGGGCTGGATGAGGGGGTCGCCGCCCTCTCTCCCATCCTCTGACTGTCCCGCGGGATGGTACAGATGGTGGCAACCCTGGGGTTGGTGAGAGATCTGGATTCTAATTCCATCTCCTACTACCAGATACTTAACCCCTAGGGGTGTCTCCCCATCTGTAAAGTAGGGGTGACGATAATGGCGACTCTCTAGGGTAGGTGGGAGGTCCCAGGAGTAAAACCTCCCTGGGTGCATCTGGCACATAGTAGGTGCTGGATTCCTTTTTGGTTTTTGTCTCTCCCCTCTATCCCCAGAAGAGCTCACAGTCTAATGCCGGTGAGGGGGACAGACACACAAAACTGACTTGCATTCCAGGGGTCTCAGTTCTGTTGTGGCAGCATAGCAGTGGAGCTTCAAAATGGAGGTTGAGCAGAAAATTCTGAATTTTCTGGGACAGGACACCTGGTTGTATAAAGTCTTAAAGACTCAAAATTTGGGGGGGTGAAAGCCAAGGGGCCCTGAAAGCTGGAATGATGGGACTCAAGAGTGGGGACCCCAGAAGTGGAGAAGGTGCTCGGCCAGGTGGAATTGCCATGGGTGCTGTGCCCCAGACTGCTTCAGGGTTGGCCCGAGTCGCAGCCTTTAATCCTGTAAGCCTCCAACAGTAGCTGGTTTGGCCTCTTTCGCACACGGAACCAGCGTAATCCTCCCTCTGATCTCATCCCAAGTCTTCTCGCTGGAGGACAATTACTTCTGCTTAAAAATGGCCCTCAGCCGCGAGCCAAGACAGGAGTGGGATATCCATTTGGGAGGAGAGATGTTTTTGGAAAGTTGCAGACATCTTAAAAAGTTAGCCTTTCAAAGCATGCTTCTCTCAGTCAGGAGGGGGAAAGCCTGAAGAAGGTTCTTGGGCAGAGGAATGGGGCCCAGAGGGGGGAAAAACTTTCTCAGTCGCCTGTAGAGTAAGCCAAGAGCCGGCGTGTGGCAGACTTCTGGGGCTGCCTCCAACAGCTGGTTTCATTTAGATTTTTGTGTGATTAACCGACATCTTCCTGTTCCTTGGCCACATGTATCTAGCAAGCCTCTTTTACCTTATAAGGGAAATCCTTTGTAGAGTGTAGAAGCTTTGATTGCAGGAAGGGGTGGAGCCCCACATGACTAGCAGTGACTAGCAGTTTTTCAAAAATACATATATATGTCTGTGTCCATAGAGATGAGTGCATCGCAGAAGTCTTTCGAGTCCAGATAGTTGAAAATGTGCCCAAAGCCTAGATGTCAGGATTCAGAATCCCCAACATAAGGAGCCGCTCACTTA